GTACCTGGCTAATAATTTTTATTCAGATTATTACTTTAGAAAGTTAGTTATTGCAGGCTGGGGATTTAGCTCAGTGGCACAGCGCCTGCCTGGCAAGTGCAAGGTCATGAGTTCGATTACCGGTACCAGAAAAAAAAAATAGAAAGTTAGTTAAGCTAGGTACAGTGGACTAATTTTTCTACTAATGTATTCAGTAATGATATACCATCTTACATATGTCTATGTTTTATGTATTAACAATGTAATGAAGCCATTAAATAACATACAATATTCCTTGTTGGGTTTTTTTTAGTGTTTTCCATTAAGAAATACTACCAGGCATGCATGAAGGTCTGCTAGGGAAAGCAGGTCCATACCAAGATAAGCCTGAGTCCCTGCCCTTCACTGGCTCATAATGAAGTAGAAGAGCTGGATGCAAACACTGCCATGGGCTGGAATTCGGCGCAGGATGGAAGATCATGAAGGGTTGAAAAGAGCTATGTGTAAAGAGTAAATAAGAAATTAATTTTGAGTGGGCCCCTCGGGAAAATGTAAGAGAGGAGCTGGTTAGAAATTAAGACAAAATTATTTATGGCAAAGAGAACTACATGAATGTACAGATGAATAAAGCCATAGAAGACAGAGAAAGGAAGGCATACATAGAGCGATGGCAGGCACAGAAGGGAGATAAAGACGTGGCAGGGATGAGTGGACAGCACATGACATGGAAAGAGATGGAATCGGAAAGGTAGGTCAGGTCTAGAACGAGAAGGTCAGAGAGGGTGCTGATGTTAATGGAGCTTTCACTTGAAGCCAGGTGCTGTACCACATGCATTGCACAAGTGATGTCACTTAATGCTTATTTGAACTCTAAAGGAGTTATCTTTATCCTTATTTTACTGATGGCAAAAACAGGCTTAGAGAAAAAAATTCAAGTGTTTACACACACACAGTTAAAAGCCACAGAGCCAAGATCCATGCTCAGATCTGGGTGCCTTCAAATTCAAGTAAATGAACCTTTCTCCATTTGTCGCACATGATTTTGCTTTATTAGAAATGCAAAGAGTTGGTAAAGGTTTGTGAATTGGGAATGAGAAAACCAAGGGAGTTACCTGGATTCATTGTATAAGGTATGCTGGCAGCTACAGATAAAAGGTGATGAGACAAAGAGGAATGTAGATTAGAACCAAGCTGATCACTTAGGAAAATAAAACACTAAAAAGTGTCTCAGAGGTGGACCGTAAGGTAGACATAGCTAAGTGACTGTTTATAGACATAAATCATAAATGATTCCAAGATATACAGCTTGTGAAAGCTATTAAACTCACCTACTAAAGTCATAGAATATCTGTCTTTAAGAATGTGCAAAATGAGTATCAACCCCTTTAATTGACACTTTTGTAGAATTTCTAAATAAACAAAGTATTGTTAGAAAAATTAAATTACTTCTTTTTAACAGTAGTGCTTTACCTCAAATTCAACAGCCATGTGGACATTTATTCTGTGCAAAATGTAAGCAACTACTTTGAGTTTTTACCAGTTTTCCAAATAGCTTTTAATTCAGTCTTCAACTCTATAGCAAATGAAATGACTGGTTTACACAAAAGAGGGTAGAAACGGTGTCAACACATTCAGGAGTCAATTTTGATTCTAAGACAAGAACATAGTATGGCTTCTTATTTATCGCGAAGGCCATTCTGCAAAAAATTAGTTTTTGCTCTTACCAAAGGGAAGATGAAGAGAAGTGCATGGTTGAATAATAAAAATTCTTAGAAGTTTCCAGCATATTAGAAAGATTCAACAAACAATAATAGTAGGCTCAAAATTTAAAGGAATAAATCTAAAAGTTGGAAGAGTCTTAATGTTATGATTTCATTAGGCATTATTAGAAACCTATTGGGATAGTTTCAACCTCTGCAAGACTGTGGTTCAAATACAGGTTGGATAAGCAGTAAAAATATTCCACAGTACGATCTTCTGTCTGACAGAGGGCAGATGGTGGGGTAGTCTCTAGTGAGTGTCTGGTCCTCTCTATGCCTATGCAGTGTTTACATATAGAAGTGATGATCTTAACTGATCCTAATAATGATGATGATAGTGATAATAACCCTAATTTACCAGACACCAATTATATGCGAGGCATCGTACTGGCTATATCGCACAAGCTCTCATTTTATGTTTAAAATGATCCACTGATGAAGGCACACTGCTTCCATTCTGCAATGTAAGAACACAAGTTCAGGAAGCTTCAGAGAACTCTCCCAGGGTCACATAACACGAATACATCCAAAATGAAAACACAAGGCTGTCAGACCCTGCAGTGTGCTGTCCTGATCTCACCCTAGCTCTCAGCCCTTGTTGCATGCTAGAATTGCCTGGGAGACCTTTCACAAGGACCTTGCTAGAGATTCTGATTTGATTTGTTTGGAAGAAGCCCAAACGTAAGTATTTTTTAAAAGCTTCCTACCTAAGGGGCAGCCACTGTCCACAGCTGCAGTGCTGTGTCACACAACCTGTAAAGCACATGAGTCTCTGAGAATGTAACTTGAAGGACAAAAAAAACCTCTGTCATGTCTACTCTTTTAGCTGTCCACCCCACACAGCTATAGACCCCATTTGTAGATCACTGTTCTCCAAAACATTTTTTTTCAATGTTCAGTTGAGGTTGAATGAAGGTCACAGATAATAGTGAAGCTAAGTCTTAGCCTCCAAGGAGAGGATCAAGGTGCTAGACATCAGTTTTTAATTGGAGGATCTTGTTTAGTGTTTTTCAATAATATCTTATGCAAATGACAAGCTTATTTCTGAACAGGAAAAGCATGGAGGTTAGCGGCTATATATCATTGTTTAATCATAATCCATAAAATGTGTCAGTGCAGCTGTATCATCTCAGAGTGAACCTACAGCGGCAGTTTAAAACCTTTTGGGTACCAAGGACAAGATGGACAGGAGACAGTTTTTCCACAGAGTGCCAAGGGGGTGGGCAGATAGGGATGGTGTGCCTTCAGCATTTGATTCTCATAAGAAGTGCTCAGCCTAGATCCTTTGCACGGCCAGCTCACAATAGTGTTCCCAGTCCCATGAGAGTCCTGCTCTGCTGCTCTGAGGATAGGCCAAGAACAGGGGGCAACTTGAGCAAAGGGGAGTGGCTGTAAATATAGATGGAGCTTTGCTTTCTTCCCTGACACTCACCTCCCTCCTTACAGCCTCACTTCCTGACAAGCTACAGACCAGACCAGTATCCCACTATCAGTCTTCGGGCCCAGGAATCGAGGACCCTCGCCCTACGGGAGATGCAAAGCCACAGACAAAAGGCCAAAGGTAGATTAGAATGACTAGCTTCATAAAAGCAATGGGCAGGTCACCACAGCACAAGTGTCTGGTGGAAAACCCAGAGCCCCTGAGCTCTAGGAAGACTTCAGTGTCCTTTCTCATGAACTCTTCTCCTGTTTCAGGAGAATAGCTTTTTGTAGATGGGTCAATTTTAGTACAGGTGGAGCGTCCCAAATCCAAAAATTCAAAATCCAAAATGCTCCAAAACCTGAGACACTGTGAGTGTTGTCATGATGCTACAAGTGGAAAGTTCTACAACTGACCTCGTGTGACAGATCACAGCCTGAAGGCAGGTGTGTTCACAATATTGGATAAGGTTACCTTTAGGCTATGTGTTCAAAGTGTTTATGAAACATAAATGGATTTCATGTTTAGACTTGGGTCCTATCCCTAAGATATTTCATTATGTAGATATAAATATTCCAAAATGTAAAAAAAATATGACATACACCTAATCCCAAGCATTTCAGAGAAGGGATAGTCACCTTCTATTTGTTTTTAGGACTTTATTTTTTAATTTGTTCTCAGTGTTTTATTTACCTTGTTTCTTCTTCAATCTTTCAACCTTTTCATTTTTTTCCCTTTCCCTTTTAAATTCAAACAACAAACACACTCTGTTCAAACCTGTGCATTTTCAAGAACATACGACACACCTAGGCAGATGAAGCCGCTGAGAGATAAAGCTGTGGCTGATTTCTTAAAGATTCATTCACACCAGGTCTGGTTATTTCTTCTGCACAGGTGTGTTACTATCTGTCAGGTGAACAAACGAGAAACTCAGGAAGCTAGGACCTCTGTCCCAACTTCTGATGGTCCGACTAGGTGGCAAAGAAAGTGATGAATCCCAGAAATGTCATTGATGTGAAGTAGGGGTTGGTCTGATAATGGGTACCACTGGAATTCTAGGGACCATACCCTCTTTCATCTCCTTGTGAATTCCTTTGTCCAGAGGAGGGTCAACTATTTTAATCACGTAGAATTGTTCAGGAGAAAGAACACAAACAGGAATTTAAGGACATACAGTTTGGAGACAGGACCCTATAATTGAACCCATACTGTGTAACTTATCTGCCATCTAGTCTTGAGAAATTTATTTAAATTTTCAAAGCCTCATTTTCCTTATCATGGAAATGGAAACATAACATGCTTTATGGGAGGATAAAATGATTCAGAAATATATGTCTAAGGGGCTGGGGATTTAGCTCAGCGGCAAAGCGCCTGCCTGGCAAGTGCAAGGTCGTGAGTTTGGTTCCCGGTACCGGAGAAAAACCAAAAAAGAAAGAAATATATGTCTAAAAATGTATGTCTATAAACCCCTTAGAATAATCTCTATTTGTTCACGTGAAACCTATTTATTGAAAATCTACGTGAGCCAGGCAGGATTGTAGGTGCTTAGGATTTAGCATTGAGTTAAACAGGCAAAACTGCCCTTTGTGGTGCTTGCATTCCAGGTAATAGAGACAGCAAGAAACAATAAACAATAAAATGACTGGTGTTAAAAAATATATAGTGTGTTGACCATGCAGAAAGCTGTCAGGCAAAGTCACTGATAAAAATACATCGGAGTGTATTAGCACTCTTTGCTAGGTAATAAGATCAAGTTTTTAAAAATATGGCCTCACTTGTTATAGAAGCTTAAGTAACAAATATGTGAAGCTAAGTAAAAGGAAATATTGTATCTTCTGCACTTTTAAAGAAATTATTGAGTCCAAATGCAAAGTTCGAATGAATCAACTCTGGTTGACGTTGCAAAAAGGAACCACGTGTGCGTTCACTCTGAAGCCGTTCTCCAAAGCTTGCATCATTCTTTGGTGTGAGGCCGTCGGGAACCAATCCCTGGCTGGGAGACACTGCGTCCCTATTTCCGCTTGAGGCAGACAGGATGGGAACAGCCAATAATACTGTGCGCACTGCGCCATGTGGAAGTCCCTGCTTATCCTTACAAAAGCCTCTCACGTTTCTGAGACTTCCAAAGCCGCATCTCATCAGTGAACGTTACCTTGTGTCCTTCACCTCAATAAATGGATGAACACTGCATCCAGCTCGGCTTAGAAAAGTCTTTTCTGTAAGCTGAAAGTACACAATATCTTTTCCACTTACAAATCAAGCATCACCGTTTCCGTAAGCATGGCTGCGTGGATATAGCGGATTCCCTATAGAGTTAGAACAGTGTTTATGAAATGAAATGACCCCTTAAAGGCCCCGGTTGAAGGCATCATGGAAACATAAGAGAGTCATATACAAACAAGCTGGGAAGTTTTGAGAAAGCCTCTACAGGAAATACTAAATCTGCTGCTAGATTACAGCAGCTGCGTCTGGCAGGCCGCGGCATGTGCCGCCTTGCTCTTATTGGCTTACTTTCTGGCACCCTCAGGAGGGTGCCTGCAGCCAGGCAGGTTTGAGCTACGAAACTGTGAGTTCATGCTCTGCATAGAATTTACATGAAATGAACTGAGGAGCAGAGAATGGAAAGGAATTGTCACTGTGGGGAAGGAAATATTTAGCTTATTCTTATTTTTCTCCCAATATTAACTCCCGAAGTGTTTATTACTCAGTTCTGTTCTCACTTACTGTATGCCTACACCTTCCCCGTCATCCTCGCCACATGGCATCGTCTCAGCTCAGCTCTTCGCTGCCTCTTTTGCTGGGTAAGCAGTAGCTCTGTATTTCGATCATTACAACCAATTAGATCTGGGCGGAGCGGCGTACCCGGGTGATTAAAGGTGAGTATTTAAAGCCAGAAAGACTTGCACTACTTACTAGGTGTGAGGCTTGAGCAAGTTATTTAAACTTGGAGTCTCAATTTCCCCACTGATGAAGGGGGAGTGATCATGCATTTGCCTCACAGCTCTGTTGAGCTAATGTGCAAGGCATTCGGCAGGCTTTCTGGCACGTGGGAGGAGCTTAGGGATGCTTTCTTTATTGAGGGTCCAGTACAGGGACGGTTGTAGAGGGTTACTCGTGTGGTTATAATGTATAATAAATACATTTGGATATAAGAAGCAGTAGAGATGTGTGTGTATGTATTTACCAAATTAAAGCAATTTTTAATATTTTTATGTTGCACACATATTGACGCTAGCTATTTTGTAAATACGAAATTGTGTTTTGGGTAGATGCAACATCGAACAGATATAATCTCGAATTAGGGAGCCATTCAGCCCTCTCCCTGTTTGTATTTTTTAAATTTTACTTTAAAAAGAAAAGAACAAAAACAAAGTAACAAACACAAAGACAAAAACAAGACACAAAAACAATAAATATGGTACAGAATGTCGAACAAGGTGATAGGAAATTAAGTGGTTGTTGTATCACATGTTGTTATCTTCAAATTGGTGACTCAGGTAAACAAATACAGGCATGTAAGATTGATCAAACAACTAAACATTAACTGTTCCTTTCAATAAAGCAATGGAAATTAGTAGTACTAGGATCAGAGGTCCCATTCAACCTTTTTGTTTTTTATGACCATATGTCCCTGCATAAGACAATGGTTAAAATTATCTATATTTTTCTGGTTCTTGAATAATTCCACCTTTTGTTTTGTTTGTTGATTTCAGGAGATGTGTTCTTGTGGTCAGTAAAACACTATTTAATGTGTGTCAGTTTCCTACTTAAAGCTAAATTTCCAAATAAAGTCTAGAAGTCAGATTATTTCTGGCCCAGTCTAATGGCCATAATGCCCTGAACATGCCCAATCTCATCAGATTATTTCTGGCTCAGACAGCTGGGCGTGGTGGCATAAGCCTGTAATCCCCGCACTCGGGAGGCTGCGGCAGGAGGATCATTGTGAGTTTCAGGCCAGCCTGGGCTACAAAGTGAGCTAGCTCAAGGCCAGTCTAAACTGCAGAGTGAGACCACGTCTCAAAAAAGAAAAAAAAAAAAAAGAATTATTTCTGGCTCATAAATAATCTCTAACCCAAAGGACACTGGCTACAAGTATTTTTTAGATCACTAACAAAGTAGTCAGTTGGCAGTAACCTATAAAAGTTATTATTTAAATTAGATACTTTGATCCCAAGTGTATCTATTTTTATTCTGGGTTACTGGTTAAACAATTTATTAAAAATGTTTATTACATATCTTCTTTGTCAGAGAACACATTCCCTTAGGACTGTGAAGACATAAAGAATGAAATGTTGCTACACAGTATTATAGACAAAACGTGGAAGGAAGATCCTCTTTTTAAGTCTGCATGAAAAAGAACTCAGCAAGAGAGTGGGAGAGAGTGAACCACACGCCCGCCATGCTGGGTGTATGAATGGGCTGTTTTGGGTGTGCTTTTCCTAACCTAGCTCCCAAGGTCTGGGTGTGCTTTTCCTAACCTAGCTCCCAACTGTGATAGTTGAGGACAAGCAGGACCCTGTCAGTGGGTGAGAAGTTTTCTCAGAGTTTTTGGGGGTTTTTTTGGTTTTTCTTAGGTACCGAAAATTGAACTCACAACCTTGCACTTGCCAGGCAGGTGCTGTGCCACTGAGCTAAATCCCTAGCCCAAGTTTTCTCAGAGTAACACTGGCCCATGAGGGGAGGGACTGTGGGAAGTGTCCTGGCAAAGGAAGGTCCACAGTTTGGACAGGCAGCCAAAGAGGAAGTCAGAAAGATTCACAGAAGGACACGTTGATAACCAAGGCTGAGACACCTGATGCTAAATAAACAAAGCCCTCATTAGATTGGCCAGATTTTCCCACCTAGGAACAAGACATTTATACCCCTCTAAAGAATGTATTTGTTCTGTTTAAAGTTATAGTTAACAGCGCTTGCAAGAATACGCCTCCTACACAGCCCAAACTCCTATAGGCCCAATTTTGTGTCAGACTTTCCTGACTGTAACCCCATAAATTGATCTCACCTTGGCTGAGATGTAGTCAGATTTGTATATAAAAACTCCTAGACAAAAGTCTCTATGGCAACCCTTTTTGGGTCCCCTCCCAGGCTTATTTTCCTGAGAGCTTTTTGCTTTTGCTTTACAATAAATACTGCTTTCTTCTCTTGCTCTACCGTAAGTACTTTTGCTTATTCTTCTGATTCTCTACCTTGTAATTCTTTCTGGGTTGAGAGAAGAACCCACCAGCCAAGTGGTAACAGTAGCCAATTCAAGCTAGTTCGGATCGGGTATCTTATTGGATTGCAAAGCTAATAATTATAGAGATAAAATAACTCTCTGATGTAAGTGAATCTAGATACAAAATAATTGTCATAAAGATCATTCTTTATATACCCCTATCTCCCACAAAAAAAAAAAAAACCTCCAGTTTGGCATCTCTGCTTGATTTGTGTTGGATTTTTAGTCCTGGACCAATCGTTGTGATTGGAGATATGAGAAATTCTGCGAGTCTCACAGTGAGGAACATGTAGCCACTTGGTCAACAGTCTTCAAATAGACAAGGACGGAGCGATTCCCCCCAGAAAAGGTGTTGAAAGACATGAAGTTGTTTGGCACCCACATTCTTTGTTTCCCAGATGAGAATGTAAAACTAAGGCCTAAAGAGACTGGAAAACTCACCCAGGGTAATCAGCTGTAGGCAGTCGAGGTGTGCGGTTCAGGTTTCGTGACTTTTCCGGGACGTGCTCTCCCTCCCATTAGGAGAGGACTGTGTGTACGTCCTGACAGCTGCCTAGCAAAGGGGTTAAATGCAGAAGCCACACACCCTTGTTTTAGTCCTCACTTCCACATCTTTCCAGGTGCATCTCTTTAGAAAGTAGTTAGCTCTCTGTGCCTCAGTCTCCTCCTGTGTACAGTGGGGAGAACAGTGCTGTTTCACTGCCCTGCTGTGAGAAACAAATGAATTAATTAGTACATGTAAAGAATTTTAGCCAGACACGGTGGCACACACCTGTAACTCCAGTACACAGGAGGCCGACACAGGAGGATCACCTGAGTTCAACATAATGAGTTCAAAACCAGCTTGAAGTACATAGCAAGACCCTGTTTTAAAAAAAGGAAAAAGAAAAGAAATAATTTTAAAAGAGTCCTGGCATGTAAGTATTATACAAGTCTTTGTTATTATTACTAAATGCTTACTGAAAGGGAAGCACTACACACATATTATGCTGTGTACCTTCAGAACAACGAAGTGCACAAGATCTCCCTTACTAGACAGAAAACACTGAATCCTGAGATATTAAACAACTTGCTCAAGATCTTACACCCAGGCAGAAACCAAGGTTCAGACTTCCATCTGTCTGATAGTGAAGCCTGTGTTTTTAACACGGTATTAAGTGATAAATGTCACAGGACAAGTTCAAAGACAATATTATGCAAGTCTATGGGAGGCAGCGATCACAGCCAGCTGAAGCACTAAGGTTTGAAGCAGGAGGAAAGGAGCGGCTCCTGGCAGATTGTATTTCACTAATTCAATCCAATATTTACTTGAGCACCTGCCCTACTGAACTATAGGAAGGAACAAACATCACAGCTTGTTCACCTCAAGTTTCAATTGTAAAAGATTAATTGGGCAATTTAGGCAAATGGTTCTAGACGGAAAGATAAGAACAGAGAAACTGGGGTGTGGTACAAAGGAAGAGATCTGGGATTCTGGTCAGCTGGACTTCTGGAATGTTCCGTGCAGAGAATTAATGGGAAAGGAGTTAAAAATGTAATAGCTACTACTATGTTTTCAGGTATCAGGGGTGCTAGAGTGAGGTTCCAATGAGCTAAACCCAGCGGATGAGATGATGACAAATTACTGAGAGGGGCTGACAGAGGAGAAAATACACACACACACACACACACACACACACACACACACACACAGAAACATCTCTGTTTGAGCACATTGGAATGACTTTAGTTGACCAACTTATTGAATGATAATCCCTCTTTAATAGGGAAGAACAAATTTTCGATAATGTTTGAAGCTTTTCTCAAAACAATTCATTTGACATGCCCTTTCTGTTTCTAGGAAAATGCCTCCCATTAATTTTTCATATTTAGCATTTGCTCACATTATGGAAATTATCAATGAAATCTCTGCAATACTTTTTTA